TATATATATATCTATGTATATATACAGTGTATAGAGGATCCCATAATTAAAACTATTTTTCAAATATTTCTAAAGAACTTTTTAAAAATATTTACCGATTGGGTATCTTTTTAAACAGATTAAAAATTAATATTCTGCGACTTTCTGCATTACATAAATCTTTTTAAATAAAATTAACACTATGATTTAAATAACATTATTTAACAGTACATTTTTAATTAAAATCTTATCAAAATACAATTTGCGTGGAATTAATTAAAAAATGCAATTTTCTTATACATTTTGACTTTTCAGTCGAAATTTGGTTAGCAAAAGGTTCTGTGTTTCAATCGCTTCTATTACAAGTAAGTATTAATATAAACATAAAATTATTTCGTGACTTAATTGAGCCAATGGCACACGGTACTTATTTTCCTGCTAGATTCCTGATTGGATTAGAATCTTGCCACCGTATTGGCTACAGTACTGATAGTACCAACATCGCAGCTGTTATATGGCAAGAATCTAATCTAACTAGCAATCCAGCAAGAAAATAAGCATTGTGTGCCGTCGGCTTTATTTTCTAGGAAAAAATCGGAACCTATTATTAGCATGTTAGTCATAAGTATTTATATAAATAATATTCAATTTCATAAACAACTTCTAGATATATGTATTTTCATTTTTATGCATAATTTATGTTTCTGCCATTAAAAGCAAAAATTTTAAAAGACGCAATATCTTGTAATACATGAAAATAAATTGCGCGAGGAAACATTTGATGGATGTTTATTATCAAATATGATTCATATAACCATGTCGATAAACATAATATAAAAGGACATTTCAAGATAATTCACTAGCTAAAATATTGTCTCACAGATTAATTTAATTTAATTTACACGAAATCTTACACGATTTTATTTGATATATGTACGATTTTATTTAATGATAATCTTTGATAATGAATATTTTTGATAATGATTGATTCCTCTGATGATATCAAATTATCTTCTTCACTATATATGAAGTCATTTGGTAAAATAAAAGATTTTATTTAATATTGCACAATTATTTCTCGTAGTTGCACAGGTAATTAGCGGATTATACATCAAAATTTTACATGAATTTTTTTAATGATTTCGGGGAACTCTCCTACGATTACATTACGTGATTACTTCCTCCGAACATTCTACGATTTTAGAAACAATAAATATAAATATTCGAAAAAATTGTACAGTGGACTGCACCTTTAAAACGTGTATAATATACGGAGCTGGCAGATTGTCGAGCGGCTACTGAGTTTCGTGACGTTAATGACTCAATGGGTGCATTCAGTACTGCAATCGCTCACTGAGCATTTAGTGAGCTCTTGTTATCTATATTTAGTTTATATTTTTTAATCTAACGAATATGTCAATCAAGTGCAAGAGCTCACTAAATGCTCAATGAACGATCGTAGTAACTGAATGCATCTGTTATTAGCTATCATTATCTATCATGTATTAGTTGCGTCAGGTTAAAACAATTTTGTTCAAAAATATTGTATTTCCATTTTTTTTTAGCTTTCAGTATTCACCTTCGTCACCATTTTATTTAGTTATTAATATTGTTTACATCTGCAGTTACGGATGGATTAAATCCGACATATTAACCTGACATAACCGATGATATTTAACTGACTGAGGCAATAGATAACAAGGAAAAAGCACGACTGACAAGAATATTCGATTATCGCGATAAAGTGTCGAACGAGATAACGCTCGGGCGAAGTCGACGGAAGGCGATAGAATGGGGAGAAGACGAGGACGTCGCGACGCGACGGTGAGACCGAGGGCGAGAGCGAGGGCGAGAGCGAGGGCGAGAGCGAGGGCGAGAGCGAGGGCGAGAGCGAGGGCGAGGGCGAGGCAACTAGCTGCGGCGCGACGAGAGGAGCGGTCGGTCGCTCCGCCCGGCTCAGGCGCGGTCGACTGTCAACTGCTCGCGCCTGTTACTCCGGGCCCCGTAACCGCCGTAACATAATGCGATGGCAAAGTGGTGTAAATCTTCTATCTCCTAGCCACGATTCAGGGCCAATCTTCGAGCACGAGCGGCTTTCGCACAGCCTCGGCCGTACTTTAAAGCGGACCACCCCATCGAAGTGCGACAAAAAAAAAATGTATCACTCATCGCATAGGCGAGAATGATAGTATTAACGCGGCAAACACGCTCTTTCGAGAAACTCTTGGACGAACACTCGTGCAAACAAGTCAAGGAAAGACACGAAAGCGGACAATTAGTAAATGATAGAGTAGGCGCGGCCGGTGTGGCGGCTGCTAGTGGTGGCTACCAACGACGGCAACGGCGGCGGCGGCGGCGGCGGCTTTCCACATTTCCGCCTTGTATCGTGTGAAAATTAACGTTGCGCTTACCTGCTCGATCGTGGGCCACCTTCTCCTGTTTTGCGATATTTACGCTGTGTACGTCCGTCGCTGGCAGTATCGCCTTAACACAGAATCACCGGTTTTTCACGTACTCGCCGCTCTTTAGGTAGCGCCCCTCGCGTGCCAATCGCGTCCGCCATCTTCGATGAACTGCCAAATACCCCTTCTCAGGCTGGCCAACCGCTGCGCACGCTGAAGCTAGCTACGTTCTGCGCATCTCATGTGTTCGCTGCTTGCAAGTTGCATTGGCGCGTGCGACGTCTCGCCCTTTTCTCTCTTATTACTACATATAATATATATATATATACTCGTGGTATCAACGATTTAAGAGATATGGCGAGTTCTTGAATGATTCTCTCTGAGGGACAAAAAATTTTTTAACGTTACGGGAGGTTTGATGACCAAACTCTATAAAGATCTATACGGCATCTCATCTGATCTGCGTTCGACGTTAACATTTCTAGAGCCAATCGAGCTGTTCGATCCACTCCGGATTCAAAGACCGAGTTCGCAGAGCTAATGTAGACTTTCGTGCCTAAATTAAATTTACCTGTATATTCATGATAATGATATCAAATAGAAATTGATGGAATACATTATGTACAATTTTTAATGAGGAATGTTCATACTATTGCTAGTATTATGTAAAAGTTTGTGCTCTCCATCTTAATTTTTTTATGTTTTAGGAGTTATTATGTAAAAAAAATTGTAATTCCATTTAAAAAAGTAGAAGTGATCTTCATATCTTTTAACACTTCTACTTCGGAAAGAAACTACTTGACCTGAAATACATCCCTCTTGAAAACTATTCTGCTTTGAAATATCTGAAAAAAAAGACATAAATTGACAGATTAACTACTTAAACGATGTTATTAATTCAGAAAAAATTAAATTGCAATGCCTAG